TGAGGCTGAAATGGACGTGTTGGGAGCGGTGGCTTTGGAGGGCGACTGCTCGTCCCAACGGGGTGCCCGGCGTGGGCACCACGGTGGCACCCCGGGAGCTTCCCGCTCGCCCGCCTCGCTCCAGGTTTTTTCCTTTCCCTTCCCGCTCAGGGACGGCTGTGCCAGTGCCACTGCCAGCTCCGGGGCCGGTGGCCAAGCGCAGCCCAGTCCCTGCTTCCTCGTCCTCCCAGCGCCAGGGATTTCACCCAAACGGCTGCAGGAGAGGGGTCCCCCGGCGGAGCTGCGGTGCCCTCAGCACAAGCCCCTAGCAGACCCCCGAGAAGCCACACGCGGTGCCCCGGCTGCAGCCCTGTGCCAGCCCCGGCCCCCGCGGCGCYCCTGCCGCCCGCTCTCCCGCTCCAGCTGTGCTTATGGGGCTGGAAAACCAGCCACTGGGCTGGAAAGAGCGGCGGCTCCGCTAAGCGGGGAAATTGGCGGGAATAACGAGGCTGGAAGCGGCACGAGGGCGGTTCCTATGACAACCCCGATCCCAACTGCTTATACCCCTAATAAAACCTTACGCTAACCGTGACACGAGGGCGTAAGATTCACCGGGTCCAACACGGAATAAAGCGACAGCAGCCGACAGTCTCACGTGTTTCACTCTGCTCCGTCCCCGGCCCCCTCTCCCATTGCCCCTGTCCGGGGATGGGGAGCGGAGGGGCGGTCGCACATCCCGGAGCAGCGCCCGGATCCCACCGGGATGGATCCAGCAGTGGCTCTGCCCACAGCGCCGCCGGACGGGGGGAACTCGGCATCCCGGGGTGTCCTGTGCCCATCCCCAGGCGCCCTCGGAGCTGCGCCCGCCACGGGCCCCGCGGTACAGGGAACCCTGTGGCATCCTGGCTGCCTGTGGCACTGCAGGGACCCAATGGCAACGCAGGGTCCCCAGGGCACTGCAGGGACCCAATGGCATTGCCGGGTCCCGGTGGCATTGCCGGGTCCCCGTGGCACTGCAGGGGCCCCGTGGCACTGCAGGGACCCCAGGGCACTGCAGGGACCCAATGGCATTGCCGGGTCCCGGTGGCATTGCCGGGTCCCCGTGGCACTGCAGGGGCCCCGTGGCACTGCGGGGGCCCTGCGGCACCTCAGTGTCCCCATGGCACCGCAGGGGCCCTGCTGCTTTGGCCGCTGCAGGACCCACAGGACTCCCAGCTCCCCAGGAGCTGCCGCAGGTCCCTGGTGCTGGTGGCCACAGGGACAGGGTCTGGGACAGGGACAGGGCTGGGACAGCCCCGGGGGATGCGAGCACCGGGGTGGCCCTGCCCGGAGCAGGAGGGGACGAGCGGAGCAACGCGGAGCCCTGGGCGCTGCTCTGCCCGGGGYGTCTCCTGTGCCGGCCCCCAGCCCTTCCCCTCCTCCCGCCCATCCCACGCTCCAGGGGCTCCCGCGCGCTCCGACCCCGCTCCCGGGGAGGCCGATTCCCGAGCGGGGACCCGCGTCGCGCCGGCCGCCCCGGCCGCGCTCCTACCTGCGGCCGGCCGCGCTCGGCGCCGCGCTGCTTTCACTGCGGCACGCCCCGCGCTGCCGGCTTAAAGGATTTTCCCACAATAACCACCAAATCCCTCTCCTGGCCATAAGCCGCGGGCCTGGGCGCGCTCCGGCCGCCGCGCGACTCGCGGCGCTGCTTTGCATGAGCTCTCAGCACGCGGGATTCCCCGCTCCRGGCCCGGCCCCATGCTTGAAAAGCCCCGAATCCCCTGAAATCTGACTGCGCCTCCCCTTGCCGGCAGCGTCTCTCCCCGCTCTCGGTCTCACCCGCATGTTTTACATACGGTGCTCACGGTCCTTGCTCGGGATTCCCGCATGGGAAAAGCGGCGCCGTGTCCGCCGGCAACGACCGGACTCATCCCRAGAGCCCCGGAGTGGCCGCTGAATCCCGGGATGGTCCCTGTCCCGCTCCCACCTTTGTGGCTGGGGCGCTGCGTGCCACGCGCAGGACACAGCGCTGCCGCTGCAGTGACAATGTCCCCAAGCTGTCCCCGAGCTCCGCTCGCCTCCCCCGGGGCCGTCATGCAAATCCTTCCGCAGGCAGCGCCCGGGGCTGGCCCCGCTCCCCGCGCCGGGCGCAGAGGCCGTGCGCTCTCAGCTCACTTCTCTATTTTCATCTCACAGGAAAAAGAAAGAAAGAAAGAGAGACCCCGCGCAGCTGGCGGCAATGGGGAGCCGGCACCTGCAGGCCGCTTTCCAGGCCACCGCCGCGGAGCACGCGGTCCTGCCCGGCCGCGATCGCCCCCGGCACCCGCGCGGCGCRAAGCAGCCGGAGCTGCCGGCGGCGCCCGGAGCTGCTCAGTGCCGCGCGGAGGCTGCAGCACGTGGGGCCCATGGGCTGCACRGTGCTGGTGAGCGTGGCCGTGGCCCCCGCGCCGAGTCCCGCGCGCCGCTCCTCACCGCGCTGCGCCCGGGATGCGCGCGTACTCGGAGGTGGCATCGCAGGGCGCTCGGCGCGGCGCCGCGGGCAGGTGCTGCAGGTCGGCGTAGTGAATGTCCGCGTCCGCCGGGTCACCCCCCTGCAAGGGCGAGAGCCGTGTGCGGGACACGCTGCTGGCAGCCCTGTCCCGTCCCATCGTGCCAGGCCGGCAGGGCTGGGCAAGGCCCCAGACCCGCGGGAAGCTGCCGGCGGCTCCTACCTGCACGGAGGGGGCTGCAGTGGTGGCATCCAGCACGTGGGTACTGAGGGACAACAGGGACCGTCGTTAGAGGTGATAGCACCGCACGGGCCCCGGCCCTGGGCACCGCGGGGTCCCGGCACCACGGSGCCAGGCCAGGGTCTGTGCAGGCAGCACCGCCAGGATGGGACCCCCAAGGGAAGCTCTGCCCTGGGAGCGAGGGGCTCCACGGGGGCTGCGCGGCCACGGGTGACAGCACTCGCCACGGGGACCAACCTGGGGCTGCTGCCACCTAAAAGGCCGAGGACAGGAGGGTGAGTGGGACGGGTGCCCCCCAGCACCCGCTGCCCGCCCGGCCCTGCTCACCTGCCCGATGACGCCGATGGACGCACAGGGCCACGAGAAAGATGAGGAGGAGGAGGGAGAGCGTCGCAGCAGCTGCAGCCACGGCCAYGCTGGGAAACGGGCTCCTCTCTGCAGGGACGTGGTGTCAGCGCCAGCGTGGGGCCGGGTGCCGCGGTGCCACCMACAGCCACATTCACCAAGCACCAACACCGCACTGCCAACAACACCCACGCTCACCGTGCACCAACACCACGGTGACACCAACACCCATATTCACTGTGCATGGACATCGCAATGCCACCAACACCCACGCTCATGGTGCACCAACACCACGGTGACACCAACATCCACGTTCACCATGCACGGACACGGTGGTGCCACCCACAGCCACGCTCACCGTGCACGGACACGGTGGTGCCACCGCCCGAGCAGGAAACCTCATCCTCCTTGTCCGCCCGCAGCTTCACGCAGTAGTAGGTGCCGGCGTCGTCGGGGCGGGCGTCGTGGATGTGGATGGTGAAGTCGGTGTTGGAGCCGCTGGCGGCGCGCGCCACGCGGGGCTGCGGGCTCCTCTGGTCGTAGACAGTGCGATTGCGGCCGCCCGACGCCTTGAGCCACTTGACGGCTCCGGCCAGGGCGTCCCCGGCCACGGTGCAGTGCAGCGTGAGCGTCTGCCCCACGAGCACATCCAGCGCCGCCTGCGGCTGCCGCAGCTCCGCACGGCCGCGCGGCCGTGCCACGGCACCTGTGGGCGACCCGCGCGGGGCTGCGTGAATGCGCTGCCCGTGAGCTCGATGGCATTGACGCGAGGGAGCTCCCTGACCAGGAGCTCAATGGGATTCRCACACGGGAGCTCCCTGCTCACGAGCTCCATGGGGTTCACGCACAGGAGCTCCCTGGCACCCCAAGCCGCGGCCGCTCCGAGCGCGGAGCCAGCAGCACCCGCACGGAGCCGGCACCGCCGGCGGCCACGAGGCCGGTCCGTGGGGACGGCAGCACCGAGCGCCCGACTCACCCGCCAGCAGGGCCGGGCGGAGGCTGAGCAGRTGGACGAGGAGCAGGGCCGCGGTGGCCGCCCGCGGAGCCATCAGCGCCGCCGGATCTTTGGGAGAGGGAAAAGGAGAAGCTGCGCAGGAAGCGGCGGGGAGCAGTGCCTGAGCCACCCCGAGCGCCGCGTTAACCCCTCACACGCGCTGCCCGCCGGGCTGGGCGCTGCGGCTCGCAGAGCTGCACGGGGCAGCCTGCATGGCAGCAGCCCGAGCTCGGACATCGATGCCAGGCAGGTCCTGGGGGAGAGGCTGGGAATGCTGGACACACTTCCCTTCCCGCTCTGCGGGGATGATGCCATGGGGCCGGCGTGGGCAGCACCAGGCTGGCAGCATCGTGGTTTGGGTCCCATGCTGGCGTGGACACTGCAAGCAGCGGGTGCATGATGGCCTGCAGGGCTGCAACACCTCTGTGGGGCTGCAACACCTCTGTGGGGCTGCAAAACCTCTGTGGGGCTGCAAAACCTCTGCGGGTTTGCAAAACCTCCACGGGGCTGCAAAGCCTCTGTGGGGCTGCAACACCTCTGTGGGGCTGCAACACCTCTGTGGGGCTGCAACACCTCTGTGGGGCTGCAAAACCTCTGCGGGTTTGCAAAACCTCCACGGGGCTGCAAAGCCTCTGTGGGGCTGCAGCACCTCTGCAGGGCTGCGACACTTCTGTGGGATTGCAAAACCTCTGCAGATTTGCAAAACCTCCACGGGGCTGCAAAGCCTCCACAGGGCTGCAACACCTCTGTGGGGCTGCAAAGCTGGGGCCAGGCTGCAAAGCCACGGCGGTGCCACCTCGCAGGACGTCGGCAGCCCACAGAGCTGGCCAGGACGTGCTCGTGTGACGCACCGCGGCGGAAATGGTTTGGAAATCCTGTGAGCTTGCACGGAGCTGGCGGGGGAACTGGTGCCGCTGCAGGATCCTTCCTTCCCCATTTGCAGCCCGTCGAGCCTGCAGGACACGGCTCCGGCCATGGCACGGCTGCTTGCCAGGCTGCTGCTGCTGCTGCTCTGCAGGGCGCTGGGTGAGTGTCACAACTGGGCTGATGCTCCCGAGGTCCAGCTTCCTCGCGGCTCCTCTCGGACCTTCCCTCCTTGCTCCCTGTTTTTGTCACCAGGGGAGCGCCGGCCGTGCCGGGCCCTGCCYGTGGCACCCTCGCAGGCTCTGCTCTTGCTGCGCAGGTGCCGGTGCCCAGGTCGGCGTGACCCTCCAGGTGCTGCAGCCCCAGGCCGAGGTGTCCGTGTCCGTCGGGAAGACGCTCACACTGAAGTGCACCGTGCTCGGAGACAAGRTGGCAGGGCCCGTGAAGTGGCTGAAGGAATCGCGAGGAAAGAACGAGACCATTTACGACCWAAAAGGCTCYGGGCCCCGTGTGACGAGGSTGGTGGACAGCTCCGACACAAACTACGACATCAGCATCAGCGACATGCGAGTGGAGGACRCCGGGAGGTATTACTGCGTGAAGTTCAGGAAGGGAGACTACGAGGACGAGGTGTTTTTGTTGGGCAGCGGCACGAAGGTGGTCGTGAACGGTGAGTGGAGCCCTGGGCGTTGGGCCGGAGCCGCGGCCGGGCGGGACCCCAGGGCTGGCGGCAGTGGGAGTTGTGTGCGGATTGGGGGCCCTGTGTGGAGGCAGCCGGAGATCTGGGGTGTGCAGAGCTGCCCCCAGGTCCAGCACGGCCACCAGCCGCATGGGCAAACGCCTCTCCCCACAGCCAGCCCCGTGGACGTGGCTGTGAACGGGCCCCGGGAGCGCGTGGAGCCGGGCACCTCGGCGCGCTTCACCTGCACGGCCAGAGGCTTCTTTCCCAGCGACATCCAGGTGCAGTGGCTCAAAAACGGGCACCAGTTGTCGGCGCTGCCAACCCAGGTCATCCTGGAGGAGACGAACTCGTCCTACGCCATGAGCAGCGCGGTGGAGATGAACCTGGTGCCCGCCGATGTCCGCACCCAGCTCAGCTGCCTGGTCAGGCACTCCACGCTGAGCACCGCGCTGCGCAGCACCTACAACGTGAGCAACAACCTGCGAGGTGAGGGCTGGGGAACGGAGCGGAGCCTCCCCCGGGGTCTCGGGGAGGACGGACACGGAGCCTCCCCTGGGGACATGGAGCCTCCCCGGGGGATCTCGTGGGGGGCCCGGGCGCGGAGCCTCCCCCGGGGGATCTCGTGGGGGGCCCGGGCGCGGAGCCGGGCTCGGGGGCCGGGCGCGGAGCCTCCTCCCCGCTGGCACACCGGGCAGGGGCCGCGCGGCGCCGGCGCGCGGGGCTCCAGGCGCCTCCTCTCGCAGTGCCCCCCGCGCTGCGCCTGCTCGCCAGGCCCGCGGGCGCCGTGGAGCTCAACAGGACCGTGAACTTCACGTGCTCCGCGGAGGGCTTCTACCCCGGCGCCCTGAACCTCACGTGGCTGGAGAACGGCGTGGAGGTGCTGGCGGAGGCCGGCGGCCCCGCGCTCACCGCCCAGGGCACGTTCGAGCTGCGCAGCAGCCTGGCCGTGCAGGCGGCAGCGGAGAGGAACCAGTCGGTGATCACCTGCCGCGTGGTGCACGACGCGCAGCGCCCCGTCAGCCGCAGCRTCACCCTGCTCGTCACCCTGCCGTCCACTGGGAAGGGTGAGTGGGAGGCGGCGGCCGCGCTCCTGGGGCTGCCCCGGGCTCCGGAGCTGCTGCTGGGAGCCGGGGGCACTGGCGCAGGCTCCGTGCGCCCCGCACGGCCGTTCAGCYGAGTCCCTGTCGTGTCCCCGCCGCAGGGAGCGTCCCCGTCCTGCTGAGCATCTCCTTGGGCGTCCTGCTGGAAAAGGGGCTCCTGGGCATCGTCCTCTTCTACCTCTTCAAGCGCTAGAGGGTGGGAGGAGGAAGGACCCCCTGCGGCCTCCGCTCCTGCTCCTCAACTCCGGCTTCATCCCACGATGGCACCGCTGTGACACCCGCACGGCTGCGCTGTCCCTGCTGTCCTGTGCACAGTGACACCTGGGCATGGTGATACCTGGGCATGGTGATGGCTGTGCATGGTGATACCCAGGTGCGGTGACACCTGGGCATGGTGACATCTGGACATGGTGACACTCATGGTGACACTCGGGCACAGTGACACCTGGGCACAGTGACACCTGGGCACAGTGAAACCTGGACGTGGTGACACTCGTACATGGTGACACCTGGGCACAGTCACACCTGAACATGGTAACACCTGGACACGGTCACAGCTGGATACGACAACACTTGGACATGGTGACACCCGGGCGTGGTCACACCTGGACACAGTCACATCTGGGCATGGTAACACCTGGACATGGTCACACCCACGTAGTGACACCTGGACACAGTGACATCTGGACACAGTGACATCCGGGTACAGTGACAGCTGGATACAGTGACACTGAGACACAGTGACACCTGGGCATGGCGACACCTGGGCATGGTGACACCTGGACACAGTGACAGCCGGGTACAGTGACACCTGGACACAGTGACACCTGGACACAGTGACACCTGGGCATGGTAACACCTGGACATGGTCACACCTGGACACAGTCACACCTGGACACGGTGACACCTGGGCATGGCGACACCTGGACACAGTGACACCTGGGCATGGTCACACCTGGACATGGTCACACCTGGACATGGTCACACCCGGACACAATGACACCTGGGCATGGCGACACCYGGACACAGTGACACCTGGGCATGGYRACACCTGGACACAGGGACACCTGGGCATGGTAACACCTGGACATGGTCACACCTGGACACAGTCACACCTGGACACGGTGACACCTGGGCATGG